AACGACTGGGAATGACTGGTCACTATGACACACACTGACGACCCGGGGGCAGACGCTCAATGCAAGAGCTGCCCACTGGTGGTCAGTGTGCTCCCACAGGGGGAGCTCTGCTCAGCCACAAGCCAGGCTGATGGCTGCCAGCACAGCGGTGGTGGTGGGAGCCTCTCCCGCCTCCTCAGCAGTGCTAAGGATATCTGACTGCAGCTTAGGCCTGCTCCCTGCTGGCAAGTGGACATCCCCTGAGGGCTGCCGGGCTGCCAGAGGGATGTCTGACTGCCAGCTTAGGCCCAATCCCCCGGGGAGCATGCCTAAGCCAGCAGGTGGTCATCCCCTGAAGTGTCCCAGACTGTGAGAGGGTACAGGCCTGGCTGAGGGACACCCCCCGACCCCGAGTGAACAAATATATATATATTAGTAACCCAGTGTATGAAATTCATGCATATTAAAAGGGAATTAGAGGAAATATTTTAATATTGCTATTTGCCCTTTCTCTATAACAGAAGTGTCAGAGATGAAAGAAAATTAGTAAAATGTATATGAAAATCTTCCTCCTGTCAGAGTCTGGGGCATACCACAGGAATCAAAGTCAAGTCCCCTCCCACCCAAGTGCACATCAAAATCATGCAAGACCCAGACCCGGTTGGCCCCACCCCATCAAGCCCCACCGGTTGGGGGTCACAGCCTCAGGTCGCCTGGCCTGGTGCTGGGGTGGGGGGCACAGCCTGAGGTCCCCCGGCATGGCACCAGGGTTGCGGGCACAGTCTGAGGTCCCCTGTCAAGCCCCACCAGGCAGGGGGCATAGCCTCAGGTCCCCTGCCCCGGCCCAGTGCCACTCAGCCTCAGGTCCCTGCTGATTGCTTGTTAAGGCTCATTACGGTAACTTGGCCTTCACTGTGGGAGCAGCCATCTTGTTATGGCGTGATGGTCAATTTGCATATTCCCTCTTTATTAGATAGGATATTTCTTAGTCCAAGCCACCATCACCTCCTAACTTGTCAACCTTTTACAATTCTTGTCCCCTTTCAATGTATTCTTCTCACAACAGCCAGAAGGATGCTAATAAACATAGAAGGAGCTGTGTATCCTCCATGCTTAAAACCTTTTGGTGAATTTCCATTGTTCTTAAAATAAACTTCAAGCCCCTTCCCATGGCCCTTGTGATAGAAACTGTAAGTTGCCTACTCAATGTTTCCCTCTTCTATAACAAAACCAGGATTTTGTTAGGGGTAGTAATAGACTAAGTTGAAAAATAAAACCTCCTCAGACTCTATTTTAGCTAGAGGTGGTCATCCAACCCAGTTCTGGCCAAGAAAATAAGCAGAGATCTATAGGATAGGGATCCAGGAAAACTGATGGAAACAGACAGACTCAGAAGGCACATGTCTTGCCCTTTGCATTATCTCCTGTTTTCTTGCCTGGAGGTACAGCAACCATCTTAGAAGCATGAAAAGGGAAGTCATGCTCAAAGGACCACAGAACAAAAAGGTGGAACTTGCATGAACCCTCAACTACTGAGATTGAGGCTCTATTATATCAGAAAAATAAACTCCTTTTGTTAAACCACCATAACTTGGTTTCTGTTACATGCAGCCAAAAACAGTCTTAATAGATACAATTGTGTTTGACATGGTTCCTTCCCATGTCTTCAGCCTTATCTCAAACAACTCTCATATTCATTCATTGTAAGACAACCATATCTTTTACTCTTCAAACACAACCTCTTTCTGCTTCAAGGTATCTGCATGTGCTTTTCTCTCTACCTGGAATAATCTTTTCCCAATTCTTCACTGGCTAACTTCTACTCATTATTCTGGTCTAAGCTTAAGGGACATCTCCTCAGCATGGACTTCCCTGACCTTTCTATTTCAAATTAGGTGCTTTCATAGCACCTTGAGCTTTCCCTTTTTAGTGTGTTTTATAATGTATATTTTTTAATTTACTTACAGGATTTTCTCCCTTTCGTTTAACTTCTGTCTCACCAACTAGACTGAGCTCTATAATGTCAGGGACTGTGTTTGTCTTGTCCACTACTAAATATGTATCCAGCCCCAATAACAGTGCCTGCAACATAGAAAAGGCACTGAATAACAGTACTAATGAATGAACAATCTACTTAAATTCCATGTGCTTTGGGCCACTTCCCTGCTCTCCCGAATCAGAATTAATCACTCCTCTTTTTATGCTTCCATGGCACATTGCTTTGACCTCTATTTTAATTCAATCCTTTTAATAAATAAGGCATGTTTTAGAAGATCTCAAAATCTGTTCAAGAGGAAAATACATAAAACTAATTATATGCAGTATAATAAGTGCAACATTTGAAGTCTGAACAAGATAAAAAATAGAATAAGGGAAATGGTGATGAACTCAATGAAACAGTAGAGATGAGACCAGGGAAGGGTTTCAGGAACTGGTAACCTCTAGGCAGCATTTTGAAAGCTAAATGGCAATTTTCCAGGTAGACAAGGGGAGGAAGGAAAATCCAAAATGAGTATATCATGTTTAAATGTCTTAGTGTTAAAAAGCAGAGGGTGCTCAGTATCAATAAAGTATAACAAAAACATTGGGAACATGGCATGAGTAACATTGTTGAGGAGGAGCCACCTAACACAGTAAATATAGGTTTTTCCATATGAGACTTCTCTCATAACTTTCCTTTTTTAAAAGCTTGGCCAAAGAATTTTACAACAAATGGAACCATAACTTATATCTCATAAGTTGCATAATTAATTTCCTACATGATAATGTCTGCAATAATTAGAAAATTATTTTCCTTCATGACATTAGGATGTAGATGAAGTCATATATACATGCTCCATGAATCTGCACTGCTGTGAGTTCCAGTTGACTCCATCTCTATGGAGGAAATTATCCAAAGTCAAGGCTGGAGAGATAGACAGGGTCCAGACCATGAAGTGGCTATGATGTACCAATTTCATAGACAACAAATAGACACAAAAGAATTTTAAGCAAGGTAGAGATTATACTTACATTTGAGTCTTAGTAAGATCACCTTGAAGGCAGTGGATCAAAGGCAAAGAAATCAGTGAGGCTTCTATTGCAATAGTAAAAGTAACTATGAGAACCTCAACTAAGGCAGTGGCAATTAAGGATGGAGAGAATAGGATTGGTGAGATAATTCAGAGGCAAAATTGGCTAGAGTGTGTAATTGATTAAGCATGGGAGTGAACGAGAAGAGGAAGAAATAAAGGATCATTTGGAAGTTTCTAATCTAGAGATTAGTCATTGTGTCATTTAGTGAGAGGTAATACAGAAGGAAGTATGTTTGGAAATGAAGATAATTAAATCAGTTTGGTATTTAAGGTGCTCCTGGGCTATCTAAGTGGAGATATTCAGCAAGTTAGATGAACACATTTGTCTGGAGCCCTGAGAGAGCAGCCTGGGTTAGAGATAGGGATTTGAGATTTATCATAGAAGATGGCAACATAAACTAAGGCTTTAGCAGTCAACATAGAGAAGAAATAATAACTGAAACTGTAAGAATTTCTAATCAATAAGATTTGGTGACACTTTGGCCATTGTGGCTAAGTTGGTTGTGCATCATCCCATGCACTGAAAAGTTACCGGTTTGATTCCCGATCAGGGCACATGCCCAGGTTGCAGGCTCAATCCCTGGGCGGGTTGCATACTAGAGGCAACTGATCAATGTTTCTTTCTCACATTGATATCTCTCTCTCTCTCTCCCTCTCTCTCTCTCTCTCTCTCTCTCTCTACCTCTGCCTTCCTCTCTCTTTCTAAAAAATCAATACAAACAAAATTTTTTAGATGAGTTGGTGAATTATTAGATTTAAAAAATGTGGAAAAGAAAGTAGAATCTAGGACAAATCTCAGGTTTCTAGTTTTGAAGATTGGATGGGTGATGGGCTGAATTGCCCCCCCCCACCCATGCCCAACAATTTCATACGTTAAAGCCTTAATACCCAGTATCTTAGAATGTGACTATTTGAAGATAGGGCCTTTAAAGAGGTAAATAAAAATAAGGTCCTATGGATGAACCCTAATCCAATGACTGTGTTTTTGTAAGAAGAGGAATTAGGATATAGACATGAATAGAGGGAGAATGCCATGTGAAAATGAAAAAGGCTATATACAAGGCAAAGTGGGAGACCTCAGAAGAAACCAAGTCTGCTAACACATTGATCTTGGACTTCTAGCTTCCAAAGCTGTGAAAATATAAACTTATGTTGTTTAAACCATCTAGTCTGTGGTACTTTGTTATGGCAGTTCTAGTAAATTAATATAGCCACCAGCCAAGATTAGGAATAGAGGAAAGAAAGTAGAATGGGAGAAGGGGGTATTTTAAAAAAGAAGAGTTTGATGCAGGACATGTTGCATTTATAATTTCTGAGGCACATCTTGGTAGATATATTCAAATTACTTTGAAATTCAAGAGATAGAAAGAGGTTATAAATACAGATTTGAAAATCATTGATGCATAAGTGATATTTTAAACTGTAGAAGTGAATAAAATCATCTAAGAAGTGTATATAGCATGTGAAGGTCATCAAGGATAGAACCATAAGGAATATCAACATTAAGGTATAGATTAAGGAAGATAACCTCGGAAAGGAAAATAATCTGAGAGATAGGACAAAGAGAGAAAGAAAACGTATATTTAAAGATTTTAATATGTTTTTAATTATAATTCATTGAATACATATTGATCTCAGTCCTCAAAGAGCTTTCACATAATGGAGGAGGAAATACCTTATTCATTTCTGACTCTCCAATGCCAAGCACAGTGCCTGACATTTGATATCCCTGCAATAAATATTTGTTAAATCAAATGGAATTGAAATCAGGACTTCATTTTTCTTCTTGTTTTGTTTGCTTATTTCTGGAGTTTACAGCATGTATTGCCATTTATATTTTAAGTTCATAGTGAAAAATCATTTCAATGTGTCCTAGGCTTGGTTCCCTTCCAAACCAACCCCCAGGACAATAGTTTTCATTATAACCTTCTGTCTTTGCCATTCTGGATTGAATTCTGTGCACAGAAGTTATATACATATATGGGTATATCTATGTAACAAATCACAGCACAGGATCCCCCTGGGCTCCTTCAGGCTCTTGTATGACATATTTGAGCCATATAAATTCAGCTTCTCCTCTGGCATCTGTTAGCCGACTCACTTGCAACTCCACCTCAGCAGTGGTCTCAGTTCTCTCAAAGCCGGGAAAGAGTACTGTGTGCTGAGAGACCATGGCAAAGAATCCTCCAGAGAACTGTGAGGACTGTCACATTCTAAATGTAAGTTGATTCATATTTTTCCCTTTTGAGCAGAAGTATGGCTGTACAGATTTATTGTATTGCAATGCGAACATTAGAAAGTAAAATCAAAGGTGACTTTGAATTATGGCTTGCTATTTTAAGGATTATTGTGTATTGTTTTATTTTCTCTGTTCTTTGTGTAGGCAGAAGCTTTTAAATCCAAGAAGATATGTAAATCACTTAAGATTTGTGGATTGGTGTTTGGTATCCTGGCCTTAACTCTAATTGTTTTGTTTTGGGGGGGCAAGCACTTCTGGCCAGAGACACCCAAAAAAGTAAGTAAATGCACATTATGCTCCAATGCTTGTTTTGAATTTTATTGAATTTAATTAGTCATTGACATGTATATTGGTCTGAAAATGAAAGTCATTAAGTCCCTTTTGTGTTTATTTTCTGGTGGTATAAAAAGCTGAATCAAGATTTTGCTCTTTTTTATTTGCCTAATTATCTTGGTAATGGAAAAAGGTGTTTTGTTTTGTTTTGTTTTTATTTCGGTTAGTAATGATAGACTGTAGAATTAACCCATTCTTTTGTAATTCCTGGCTTTAAGGAGTAAAGACTCTTCCTAGAAGCAAAATTTTTACTTTAAGAAGAAAATATTTTCCATCTTTCTTTCAATTATCTGGGCAGAAACTGATGGAAAAATAATTATACCACCGCATAAGAAGAAACCACCAGAAATGGCAGCAAAGGATTTTCAGGGATTATGTTTCTGACTTAACGCATCTGCTGTGAGGACAGGCAGCAAACTCCTTTTCAGAAGGAGTGATTTTTATACCTGAGTTTACATTTATTTATGACCTAAAAAAATAAAATAAAGTTTTCAGCGCCTCACCAGCCACAATTGTTGCAATCCCACTGAGATACTAAAGCCACAAGTTAGAAATAAGTGACACAAGTCATAAATCACAGGTATCTCAGAAAGTTTCAGATATTAGGGTCATTTGGTGAAGCTTGGCTGGCCTTTGTAGTTGATATTAGTGTGCCTTAGTGTTATTGTTACTCCCGGGCCCCCAAGCAATGGGAAAGTCTAGATGTGACTTAAAAAAATCAAAGACCCTTCATGCCAACAATTTTCATTTGAAAGAGAAGTAATAAATGTACAAGCTACAAGGTCTCAAGATGTTTTTCTGGCTCTGCCATATTTTTATTTCTGCATGTGGGTTGCTATTGTTGTTGCTGTTGTTATTAGTTTGTTGTCATGAGATGCTCATTTCTATTTGACAACAGATGTAGGGAGAAAAAGGCATGAGTGCAGGAGGGAGGATTAGAGACAAGAAGAAAATGGGTTGGCACGGACCATTAGGAGCCAAAGGAGCGATAGGAGCAGAGAAGAGAGAATATGGATTGATGCAGAAAGAAAGTCAGTGGGGAAGAAAATAGAAAATCAATTGAACAAGTCCAAAAGAAAGACTCCTTGGATTCTTCACCTCTGCTGCCATACCCCCTTCCATTTAGTCCCAGAAGCTACTTTATTTTAAGTAGTAGGGAGAATAAAGAGGGAAACAGCCTACTGTGTTTGCCTTTTTATTTATATTTTGTTCCAGAAAGGATTTCAGGTATCACCGAATTCCTATAGTTAGCTCTTTCTAGATAGATGATAGATGATGATGGTAGATAGATAGATAGATAGATAATCACTGCTACCTGCTTCTGAACTACGTACTGTTCACATGTCTTTCTAGAGAAGTCACCCGTATTCAGCCTGGCAAAGTGGGCAAAGCAATAGAGATCAGGAATGAAATAGCAAATGAACAAGAGTGCCAAAATGCATTCGAATCCAATTCTGCTACCACTTAGCTAATTCACAAGGTGATACGTTATCACGCTATTGAATTCCAGGTCCTCCTGACAATTACAGATGAGTTAGAGGACAATAAATACTTTTGCTCTCCATGTCCATATGTACTTAATTGAGTATGCTAGGTAGCTAGCCCTTTTGATCACTCATACATGCCCACCTAAACTTGGAGCCATATGGGCTTTCTTGTTTTATTGTAGCCATTGATACTGACAATACTATTCTGAGTTTGTGTTTTTCTAAACTTACAATGCTATTTGCCTAAGTGCAACTATAAATGACTAGGTGGGGACCTTACCTTGCAAGTTGCCAAACTCACTAACAGTGCCCATGGCCCCCTTTGCTTCTGTATTATACCACCTTTGTTTCTCACTTCAGTTCTTTTTTTTTTTATGGATTATAAGAACCAATTCTGTGATTTCTCAAACCAAAAGTCAAACTTAGTCAACGCATATACAAAATAGGTGAGATATGCTACCAAATGAAGTTTATCAAGAATTAAATCTCTCATGAAGTAATCCATCTTGAGATATAATTTTCAACAAAGGGATTCTCAGAAATGAACAAGTTATTACAAAGTAATCTTATAAAAGACAATAGATGTCTCTTTGGGCAATCCACCTTGAACAAAGGTTATTTGTTCTCAATCCTAATGGGGAGTTGAAATTTATTGTATTTAATATTTAAGTCCTAGCCTTCACAAGATTAGGCTGGATCCATTGCAACATAAGGAACCAGCTGGAGATGCATATGGTTCACTCAGTCTACAACTCCCTTCAATTCCCAAAGAGTCCACGGGGCCATCTATAATCTAATAGATATGGTCTAATTATTGGCTAATACTGCCAATAAGCCTGCCTCAAAGTTGACTTAGGAATCCTAAAAAGAGCAGAGCAGTCAGATTAGTCTTGGGAAAAGATATGCAGAGGAAAAGGACCCAGGCATTTTGCACAAATTAAAGAGCCCCTCTCCCTTAAGAGCATGACCTAGCAGGAAACAACAGTTAGCAGATTAAAACCCAGGCTTTTCTGGACTTTCCTTTAAAAATCTGTGGAACCTTTGGGGGCCATTTGTCGAGGGAACTGTTGATGCTGTTGTGATTATAAATGGCAGTGACTTATTTGCTGTCTTGGGGCTTTCTCAAAGCTCTTAGTGTTTGCTACTTTAACCTCCACCACACCTTCTTTTTATTTTGTTTTTCAACATCTGTTTTTTAACACTGTTTATTTAACATTCCACATCTGGTGTTGACATTTCCATGCCAGTAAGTCCTCCCCCTCCCTCCATTATTTCCCACCTTGGTGTCTACAAAAGATCCAAATTCTTGATCCCAAATGGGGACTAAGCCATACTTGACTCCCTCTCCTCACATACTTCAGACACAAGCACAAGTGCCTGTGTGTGTGTGTGTGTGTGTGTGTGTGTGTGTGTGTGTGTGTGTGTCCCCGCACGCATCGGAGAGAGAAATGGATAAAAATAAAGTGAAACAAAGAAGAATAACTCTGGGTGTGCTGTTGCACTCCGCTATAGGCTAACAGGCTCCCTAAACCACAGCTACATATAGGAGCCACTTGAACTGAATGAAAGCCAATCCATTGACCCCTTGTTTCAGCTTTCTTAACAAAGCAGAGGGGACCTATTCAGTCTCAGAGATTTTGAGAGAGCATTACAATGAGGCTTCACTTCCAGGCAGTGACTGCACAGGGACTTTGAAGCAGTCATTCTTGCTTAAAGCGCCCTGTATTGCACACTTAACTTGAAACAATCAGGAGCCAACATTCTAGTTAATTAATCCAACCTGAAGAAAACAAGTTGGAAAAAATCCAAGCCCTTAAACTGAAAGTTTTTAGATGTAGCAGAGACCTTGTAACCTATCCTCTCCAATGTTTTGTAGAATGAGGCAAAAGAACAATAAATTAAATTAATTAAAAGCTGTTATTCCTGCCATATCTAGGAACTTCCTGGTAACTTTAGGGCTGTTTGGAAACCGTAAGTTCTAAGGCCCACACAACAATAAAAAAAAATTCCTGGGGAGGTCTCCTCAAATCTCCATACTACCAGAGTGAGATAAGACGTGATAGAGATAGGTGGGCATCCTTCTGCCCTCCCCACCACCTCAACTGCACACACCCATTAAAACAGTCTAACTCAGGATTGCAAGCCCAATATCCTTCTAGGCTGAAAATCATTTGCTCAGAAAAAGCACTCTTTGGCTAAGTCTGGGTCCAGCTTTCTTATGCCTAAGTCTCTAATGCTAGCATTGGCCAGAGACCAACTTTCTTCACTCCTCTTTGAGACACACAGGAGATACAACTTTCCTCCCTGAGTACCCTGGGCTTTCCAACAAAGCCGTTGGGTGGGTGAAATGTGGGTCTGGAGAAGCATTCACACCCTCAAGGAAAAAGTTGGAGTTGTAGCTGGAATCTCTTTAACAGAGAGATTGAGCTTCACCAGATGGTGCCATGTCAGCATTTTAAAAGAGAATACTGCTCTTCATTTTATTTTCCTCCTAAACTAATGTGGGAGAAAGCCCACTTTTGAATAGAAACTCTTACTAGGCCAGCTCTTGCTCTAGGCTACTCAGCGTCACTCCGATTATGTAGATCAGGACTCTGGCTACTATGGGCACATTTTTTATATATATGTCATTTATTTTTTACAGAGAAGAAGGGAGAGGGATAGTGAGTTAGGAACATCGATGAGAGAGAAACATCCATCAGCTGCCTCCTGCACACCTCCTACTGGGGATGTGCCCACAACCAAGGTACATGCCCTTGACCGGAATGGAACCTGGGACCTCTCCGTCTGCAGGCCGACGCTCTATCCACTGAGCCAAACCGGTTAGGGCAATGGGCACATTTTTATTCAGTCCCGTCATTCTCTTAAGGCAGCATTTTCTAAGCAATGTACGTGGCACCAGGAAGGAAAGCCTGGGTCTACAAAGGGAGTTGTCCTTTAGTGGTTGAGAGTGGAATTGGGCTCTATGGAGAAAGCAACCCAAGAGTTCTAAAGGTAGTGACAGTCCACTGGTCAACCTGACAGGTATCAGCCCAATTCTGAGCAGAACTGATTTTGTCAGCTATTCAACATTCAACTGAGCCTCCAGAAACATTTGATGACTTGCCCAAAGTCACACGGCTTATAAGTGGCAGAGTTGAGGCTAGAACTAGAATCTGGTCTGAGGATTCTTTCCACTGTTTTTCAGCTGCATTTAAGAATAATGGATACGTGGGGGAGGGAAGGCGCAGGGGAAAACTTCCCAGCCAGTCTGTAGATGAAAGAAATGGTATTTTTCTTGTTGAACAAGAGGAATGTCTGTGCTGCTTATGCCAATTTTTTTCAGGGCTGAGAACTGGTGATTGAAGATGCAGAAGTCCAACTTTGCATAAGAAACAATCTGTCTGCTCTGTGTTGGTAAAGAAATACCCAGAGGCCCTTTAATTCCCACAGGCTAGGTTGGTAATGATATGGTATCATACATTCCCTTCCCTTCCTTCCAGTTTAACACCTACTAGCCAGCTATTCTGAGCATGTATTTCACCTTTGGAGAGTGTATCTCATAAACAGACAATAAAGGATGAAGGTGGAGAGAAGAGCAGCTAGATTAATCACAGGCTTCAAAAAACAAACCTAAGCCAAATGCCCTCAAATCCCTTTCAGGACAGGCTAAACCTACTTGCCCCCAAACAGATCCATCACACTGAGGTCTGAGGCAGTGTTACTCTTTATAAAAAGCTTACTTTTATGATCTCAGATATTGTCACAAATTGAGGCAAGAAAACAGGGCAAACTGTGAAAGGGGGATGTTAGGGTTCATTTGCTGCCTGAGTAAAGGATTTAACTGGACTGAGGAACAATGAATTCCTGGGCAGGGAGGAGAAATGAGTTTGTATTCTCTCCATGTTTTGTCAGTGTGGTCTTCTTACATCTCTCACTGCCTAGGCCTAACCATGTACCTATCTCATTTCACTTCTGAGTCATATTTCACTCCATTGACTTACCTGTCCCACTCAACTGTGCTGGGCCTTATAGTTAAAACCAGCCTTATGCTTGGGTGAGGTAGGAACCCATTTAAGTGGTACTGGAAAGATGTCTTTGCCCCCCTCCCTAAATATCTCCAATTCCTAGTTTCCTGGTACCATTGTGCTTAAAATTCACCATTAGTAATTCATTCCTTTGAGTTAAGTATTATACTAAATTATTTTGACAAATACCCATAACTACCATCTTAGTGTGAAATAATTTGTAAGATTGATATTTTTTTACATAAGGTAGCTGAAGCACCAATAGATTCTTAGATGTCTAGACAGAAAACAAAGTTTTTAGAAGGAAATGGGAAAAGGGAAAAGGACTAGGAGGGTACAAAGTGAACAGGATATAAAAAGAACAGAGAGGGAAGCTAGAAACACCTTCCTAGATCAACCTTCCCAATCTGCCAATTTGACAGAATTGTACTTCTTATCATATTCTGTTCTTCCTAGAATAAAGCTGAGTTGGGAGCACTCTGAGATGAGCTAGTGGGATCCCACTCAGACCTCTCTCAGGCCAGCCTCCTGTCTCTGTTTTAGTTTGTGCCTAGGAGAAGACAAAACCATTTATTCCTTTATCTCCAGAAAGACCCTCAGCCCCTGAGCCAGCGAGTTTAGTAGAGAGAAAATTACTTCTAAGGTCAAAGGCATGAGCTCAGTCTTCATATGGGCCAGTGAAGCTTGCATAGCCATTACCAAGGCAATGTGCTCCACAGGGACACAGGCGAGACAGTATGTCTGGATTTGCTCAAACTCATCCTCAACCAGTCCAAAATGAGACACCAGCATCATCTTCCTAGACAAAAGATAGTCTGTTCCAAAAGGACACCTTTGATAGTGGAATTCCATCTGGGTGAATATATAGTTCCCCACCCCACCCAATATTCACACATAAATGAAGTCATTCTGACCCCACTCTATTTAGCAACCTACCATTGCTAACAAAAAAGCCAACAAGCTGGTTAATTAATATAATCAGAATGGACCCCTCCTCCTCCACCAAAAACAAAATAAAACAAACTCTGTTAAGGAATGTTGAAAATAATCAAGATCTGCTGAGCTTGGCAGTTTCCAATAGTTTTCATCTAGCAAGGTGTCCAAGTGAGGTGCATTGCCAACAATGCAGGAAAACTCATTCCACAAAAGTACACTGAAATTCTAAATGTCACCAGTATGGTTCCATAGTCTTGTACGATTGATTGAAAATACAGCCTGTATTTTCTTTTGCCCAGGTAGGCAGCCTTCCAACATCCCCTAGTCTCTAACCTCATTTTTCCATGCAATAATCCATCAGTGGTGCTACTGATGAAACAAACACCCCACCACACCCCCAATGACTAGTAGTGTCGACATTTGTCTCAACAATGGATAGTATTTCTAAAGAAATTCTCCCTTGCCTGGAGATCTGACAAGACTGGAACTGAAGTAGATGCCTCTCTTCTCTTCTTAGGTCAGGCCAAATGAGAGCTCAATTTGTTGCCATAGGTAGAAATTTCTCAAGTTGGCTGCAGAGCTGGAACTGAGGACATATTTATAACTAGAAGCAAATAACAAGCCTAAAGGAATTTGCTACCTGTCACAAATCAGGCTAGACTTCCTGAGTTAACTCTGCAGTTGCTGGGAAATTCCAAATACTGTTTTTCTTTTTCTTTTAAAATACGGTCACTTAAAAAAATCTTGCCAATGCTCAAAATCTCTCTTTAAGAAGATGAGAAGTAGCCATTGGTGGGAAAACCTCATTCAACAAATACTTAAGTGCGGGCCATGTCTAAGGCACTGTAGGGTTACTAAGAGGTAAAGGACATTGTCTCTTGTTCTCCTATTCAGCAACTACACAGACATTTCATGCTTGAAGTAACATTGTTTCTACAAACCCTTCAAACTTGTTTTTTCTACTTGAGTTAGGGAAAATTTGACCAGGTTAAACTAACATTCAGTTACAGACACCAGCGGACATGAAAAAACAATGTAAACAAGTGCAAGCTCTAATCAGCTGCCACTGGGAATCATGTCATCAGAAAGCAACATTTGCTCTGGAGATGTCTTGCTTTTTCAGGCTTTCAGTTTACCAAACTTTTTTTTTGTAAGAAAAAATGAGCATAAAGAAACTTGATAACTGAAGGTCTCCTACCGACAAGGATAAGATAGACTTCCACATGGCACCAAGTCTGGCCTGGTTTGTGACAGGGAGCAAATTCCTTTAGGCTTATTATTTGCTTTTGGCTGTAAAAGTGTCCTCAGTTGTAAGTGATGGGCTTACTCCTAAACTGGGACACTCTGTAGGACTGGTCTTCTTGGTCCTTAGAAAGAGAATTGCCTCTTGTAGAGGGCAGGAGAGAGTCCGGGGTTTTATTTCAACCACTAAAGAATGACCTGATAAGCAGCCTTTCCAAGGCACTCTCCTTGGGAGACTCCATATTACTTAGTGCAAGGCTCTTGAATTCTATATATAAGAGAATCTGGAGAACCTGAAACCAATTATCAGGATTGGCAAACAAAATTCAGGAATAAACAGAGGGGGGTCGGTTAGCCTATAAAAGAGAAGATTAGGGGGAGGCAATAAATGTTTCCTGGAGTTTAAAGGGCAAAAGGAAGCAATTGGGGCCAGGGTAAGATTATTACCTAAAATTGGCCAAGGGGAATGGTTTTCAGATCCTAAAAAGATTGTGGAATCAATATTAAAGCCCTGGAGAGATAAGGAGATAAAGAACAATACCTAAACATTCTAAATGGGTTCAAATTTTGTCTCAACCCTAATGAATTTCATGGGGAGTGAGGGGTGACCACTAAGCACTTAGGCAAGTATGCGTCGTAGCTTAAAGGAACACCACAGGTTTTACTTGATCCTTTTGTTCAACACAAGGGAGAAGTACTTTACAAGCTGTTTTTGCAAAATATCATTTTCTATTTGTTGGAATTCTTATTAATTAGTTTAGCAACTCGGCTCAAATACAAAATATTGGCTCCAAAGAGATCCTCATATCATCCCCAGTGCCCAAAAGCACCTCACTGTAATCTCCAGTCTCAGAAAATTCCCAACAGCAAGCTGCTGAGATGGCACCTCACTACAAAAACTCTGGAAAGCAAAGGCACCCCAGATGTTACCCAATTAAAATGTCATATGAAGGAACACACTGAGTATCTTAGACTTGTTTTCCTCTGTTCTCCCAGACATATGACATGGAGCACACTTTCTACAGCAATGGAGAAAAGAAGAAGATTTACATGGAAATTGATCCTGTGACCAGAACTGAAATATTCAGAAGTGGAAATGGCACTGATGAAACATTGGAAGTACATGACTTTAAAAATGTAAGTTGGATATTTCCCCCCAAAGGCTTCCCACTGAAAATATTAGAACATTCTAGTTGAGTTAAAAAAAGCCTCTAGCCTTCATTTAATTTGTAAGACAAAGCTTTCCCTTGGAATTCAAATTTTTTCAGCCTAGGGCCCTGATAGACAATGGAACTCATTAATTATGGCTATTTCAGGAGGTATTTTTTTTCTATTTAATAGGGATACACTGGCATCTACTTTGTAGGTCTTCAAAAATGCTTCATCAAAACTCAGATCAAAGTGATTCCTGAATTTTCTGAACCAGAGGAGGAAATAGATGAGGTATGTAAGAGTAACAGTGGCAGTAAAAGCCATCATTTATTGGGTGCTAACTATGTGCCAGACATTGTACTAAATGCTTTACTCTGATTTGATTCTCACTTGGACCTTATAGGTAGGTACTATTATTGTCCCCATTTTCAGATAAAGAAACTAGGACTCAGAGCCAAAAGTGACTTGCCCAAGGTCACAAAGATAGTGAGGGACAGATTGGGATCTTGACTCTGGCCTTTCAAAAAATCAAGTTCATGCTTTTAGGTGCAACACTGTACTTTTATACTGGTGTAGCCTTTAACATTATGTATCTTTGCTCCCAAACCAAAGATTTCTAGTAAAGGGGGTGAGCAGCAGCACAAAATAAATCCTGCCTAAGATAAAGTCTTAAAAAGTTCCAAGGCCACTGAGGATCCTTGCCACTTTTGTCACACTGTAACATTCACCTATTTTAATGATTTCAGTTCATTCACCATGCCATTTTATGCTGGGCTGCTAATGGATTAAATAACATTTAATCTCACTAGGAAAGGCAAAAACAAAGAAGGTGAGAACTACAGTGTAATACAATTTCTCTGAAAATATACCGCTAGGCCAGGATACTGGTGCAATTATTGAATGGCCCCTGAAAGCCTAGTGGGACATGAAGAATTATTGTGTAAAATATAGCCATCAATAGAGCCCCAAGGCTCTTAATTTTTCCCTCATATGCTGTCTGTAAGTACAGTATGTTGCTATCAGTGGAGGAAGAAGTGGAATGTTAGCTAAGGCCCTAGTGTGACAGCAAAACCCTGCTCCCCACCTGTAGCCAGGAAGAAATGAATGTTTGTTTGCTTTGGCTGGTTTTGTTTTAGAGTTTAACTAGTAAATGTAGTGATATTATGGCAATGATACAGTGGCTTCTCTATATACTGTAGATACCTCTTTCTTCTCTCTCCCCTGTTCTTTTTCACTTTTCTCCTACCCACTCTCTCCATCTTAATTCTCATCCACCAATTTATCATTTCCTTTTCTTATTTTCAGGGGAAGGGGTGAGATGGGGCAAGGAGCACTTTTTCCTTTCCCTTACCCAAGTATCAGAGCTGTCATTAGCCCCATGGACATGCTACTGGTCTCCTTATGGCCAGAGAAGTTATAGACCTTTGGTACTAGAATGTCTAAGAAAAATATTTCTTAAGGTCTATGGTAGTAAAAACTTTGGAGATTTTTTAAAATAAGCATAAGTTAGATGCATCTGAGGAACAGAAAAACTTCCAGGATATTAGAATTAATATGGGAGGTAAGGGTAAGATGAAAGGAGAATGAATAGGTTAAAAAGCTACTACACCAAATATCATATGCTGCTTTTTACAGAAAATAATGTAAGCTGTTGAATAGGGCCAGCCAGAAATTAGAGTCCAAACTGACACAAGAAGATTTATTTTTCTGAAAAAATAAATAGTAAAGGCAATGATCCATAATGTCTCATCTTGACCCCAATTTATTCTTCAGTTAATTTTGCTGAGTCTTTTGAATAGCACAAGTATTTTTCTCATGATAGTGAGATTACTTTATCTTCAAGAAAAACCTATTTTTTATATTTAGCCTACATATTTTTTTGAGACAAATTTGTGGTCCTGAATGACAAAAAAACCTCTTATTCTGTATTTCCCTACCTCTGTATCCATGGTTTGTGCATGTTAAACATGCAGAGCAGGTATAAAAATAGCCCTGATTTTGCTAACAAAGCTAGTCAGAATGCAGACCTCATTTTATACAGTCCCTTTCAATGCCTCCCAAGGTCTTTATACAAACTCAAGGGCAAAGGAACTAAGACTTGATAGTTTTAGATGACTAGAGAAGAATTGTACAAAGCTATATTTCACGGAATAAATTAAAACACTGAAATCATAAAGCTAGAAGGAAACAAAAGAGAAAAGGAAAAGCCTAATTGGGGGGGGGGGGATATTGAAGCCCAAAAGACAAGGAATAAGAACTAGATATTGTCAACATAAAAAATGTCCAAACCTGTAAGAATTTTTATAAGTTCATTTGAATCAAACTGACAATTGCTGGGAAGCAAAATCTCAACAGATTGAAAAAATGCTCCAGAAAATGGTAATTTTGCACCTTATTTTATATATTACAATCAAAGAAGGAGGCATGAGGGAGTTACATGAAATCCATTGGTGATAGATTAGAGAGGCAGGAGCAAGCAATGTGGGGAGCCCTGTAGTACTGGGTAAAAAGTGAAAGGAATAGACACATTCTTCTTTTACATTGGTGGGTATAGGATAGTTAACAAATGACAATAATAGTGAAGGGTTTTGTGGGGGGGGTGTTTTGTTTTGTTTTGTTTGTCTTTCCTTTGTTTGGAGATTGTGCCCTGAGGGGACTGGAAAATGGAAATTACCCTGACATTCCAAAGGTATATTATCATGTTATCTTAGATGCAAAAAGAAAATAGGCTCAGTAAAGGTACAGATTGACCTTTGTCAAGGAAGATACCAGTCTAGGACATAAGTACTGGTATCACTTTTAGTTGGGAAGTTTTAATTTCAGACCATCCTGTGTGGTTACTTTAGGTCTCTGAGTTTGTAAGGCCCACCATACAGACCTCCCCTAGCTTGTCAGGTTTAGTATGTGGCCCCTTTTTGTCCATAGTATACAAGACAACTACTTCCAATACTAGAAACTGAGGAGAAGGGACATTCTTGACAATACAAGAAAGTCTACCTAAAGGAAAAACACTCTGTGAGACAAACCCTAAGTATCTAGAATGAAAGGAGTTATAGTGTGGTAAGGTCAGTCAAGCCAAGAGCTGGAGTTGACTTTAAAACAAAAAGGACATCTTTTGCATTCCACCTAGCTACTATTAAAAGGCAAATCTTGTAAAACCAAACTATTAGGTTTGGTTGCTATTTCACTGATCTCACCATTTTAGATTATAGCAGTTTTTTCACTTTTAGATAAAATTCTGTTTGCAAGCCTAGTTTCAAACCTAAAAGAAGGCAGGCACTCACAACTTCCATTTAAAGATAAAACAAACCAGGTGCTGGAAACCCAAGTGGCGGGGTTTCCAGGCCTGCAGGGGGGGGGGGGGGGGGGGGGGGGGGTGTCTAGATATTAATGAAGAACCTTCCTGACTTTAAGTGAATGGTAGCAGAGAAGGCTATTGTGTCAGTGAGCAACCTTACTGTAAGGAGGGATTGGTTGTTAACTCTCCCAAGGGTACCACCTACTGTGTGCAAAGCACAGAGCTAGTTCACTGGGAGCCCTGGGATGGAAACTGTTATTCAGACTCAAAATACAGGTGTGGGGGTTATTTTTTTTCATTATCCCATAATGTCTCACTCATTTTATTAATTTCTCTGCCTATCCCCACTCTGAACTACTTTTTTCTCTCAGAATGAAGAAATTACCACAACTTTCTTTGAACAGTCCATCATTTGGGTCCCAGCAGAAAAGCCAATTGAAAACCGAGACTTTCTTAAAAATTCCAAAATTCTGGAGATTTGTGATAATGTGACCATGTATTGGATCAATCCCACTCTAATAGCAGGTATGGCTTTCTTCTCCTCCTCCTCCTCCTCTTTCCAAAGTCAGTAACAGGTTAATGTTCCCAGCATTCAGAGACTACATTTCTAGAAAAAATAAATGATCTGCTTATATCTTCTTAGATGACACTGTATATGCTGACTGCCAGTGAGGAGGGAATTTTTCACAGCCAGGTTATAAATTAGATAAATTAATGCTGACAGGCTTTTAAATATCCCAGCAAAGGTAACACCACCTTAATGTGACCAATGATAGCAAAAAGCGAATCTGTCTTTCTTAGTACATCTATGTTTATTGCACTCAGGATACTAGACTATTGCTCAAATCACTGTGTGTTCAACCCAAGACCAGAGGAGAGAAGAGCCAAAACAATGCTCTGTTGTCTCAAGAAGGATTCTCTATGTCAAATGGTGGCCTTCTTCCCAGATGATAGGACAGTCACTGCAATACAAATTTCTCTGTGGCTGTTTTAGGAATCACTATAAAAGTAATTGAAGGCTAGAGGTCCAGAGTAGAAGAGTTCAGCTCTGAACTTCCAGTCAGCCCATAGAGAAGACAAAGGTCTCTGGATATATTTTTCTGCCAGGCTAATGTATAATTTGGCTTCCCTCATTGTGTACAGCATAGACTACTATATTACTCAAGAGGGGCCACTCGAACCAATGCAGGCATCTATTGGTACTGTTGTGCCTTGAAAAAAAAAAGGCGATTAAATGCAATGTGGTACCCTGGATTGGATGCTAGAACTTCTGCTTCAGCGTGTTTTTTTTCTAAAGGACATTGGTGGAAATAATGAACTCGGAATAAAGTTTGTAGTTTAGCTAATAGTATCATACCAATGCTAATTTCTTAGTTTTGAACATTGTATTATGGTTATGTAAGATGCTAACATTAGGGAACTGGGTGAAAGGTATACAGGAACTCTGTACTATCTTTGCAACTCTTCTGTGAATCTGATTATTTCTAAATAGAAATTTTTAAAATAGTTAAAACAGGGAAGAGTAAGGGTGACAGAGGAACAGAGAGTACCAAATCAAATTAGGCAACATACACATATTTGAGTACCTACCGTGGATAAAATCATTTTGGAAGACACAGAGATCCCCTGTCCTCAGTCTCTAATTTAGTGTGCTAACGAGGCAAAGCAGTAAGCGTTTGATGCCAAATGAGCAAAGAAGAGGTCTGTTTACGTGGGAATAGTCAAATTTGTTTTGAAAAATCTCTTTAAGATATCAGCTGAAAGAGTTTGGAAAAGTGGTTCATGCATGTCTAAATGATGATAGTGAGAAGACACAGGGAAAATCTCTACCCTCAAATGCTAATATCCCAATCACTTCTTTCAGAAACTTTTGCAAAGCAGTTGTATCCCAACTTTGTATTTATTACTTTAGTTTCAGAGTTACAAGACTTTGAGGAGGATGGTGAAGATCTTCACTTTCCTACCACCGAAAAAAAGGGCATTGAACAAAATGAGCAATGGGTGGTCCCTCAAGTGAAGGTGGAGAAGACCCGTCATGCCAGACAAGCAAGTGAAGAAGAACTTCCAATAAATGACTATGTGAGTTATGTTTCTGTTTTCTTGTTAGCGGAAAAACAAAACCCTCAAATTTCATATGCTAAATTAGTATCCCTCAGATCAAAGTCATTGAAAGGAAAATAATCATTGTTTTAACAAAAAATATTTAAGAAACTTGGAATCCCTAGGAGGCTCATTTAAAATCAGTCTTGATCCCTACTGAGATATCTCCATGATAAGGCTAACAACTAAATTTCTCACCAGTCCCCAACTCATATAATCTTATAGTCCTCTTCCTAGTGAACCTTCTCCTCCAACACTGGCTTCTTCTTCTTTCAGACTGAAAATGGAATAGAATTTGACCCCATGCTGGATGAGAGAGGTTATTGTTGTATTTACTGCCGTCGAGGCAACCGCTACTGCCGCCGCGTCTGTGAACCTTTACTAGGTTACTACCCGTATCCCTACTGCTACCAAGGAGGGCGGGTTATCTGTCGTGTCATCATGCCTTGCAACTGGTGGGTGGCTCGCATGCTGGGGAGGGTCTAGTAGCAAGTTTGAGCTCATTTCTTAAACTTCAGACAGCCAATATATAATAAATGCATGCTATTCAATGAATTTCTGCCTATGAGGCATTTGGCTCCTGGTAGCCAGTACTCCAGAATTACTTGTTGGTAATTCCTCTCTCATGTTCTAATAAACTTCTACATCATTGTCAATGGCCTGATTGCTACTGAACACACTGGGTAAGTGCTTGCTGAGAATATTTCCTGCAACTGAGATGGAGCAGATCTGTGTAACATGGATGACAACAATGGAAACTTGCATTTCATCAGGTTTGGGGAGTAGGAAAGGGCAAAGCATAAGAATTCTTAAATACCGTATTTTACTGTGAGGTAATGAGAAAGTGGGAATGAGAGGCTGATGATAAAATGTCCCCCTAACTAATGCATAAAAATGTGTCCTTTTGTACATAGCCCCAATGTTTAATTATGTGAGAGACATACTGTGGACTCGCTTAAGCATTTATTAAGCCGCTGGACAGGCAACACTAAAATATTCCAAGTGCTCAGACTCAGCAAAGGAGAATGCTAACCTAGCAAAAAAGGGGTTCTAGGCTCTCCTGTGAACAGAAACTCAACTTTGGACAAATTCAACACTTCATAACCCTTAAGTCTGACCTGTCTTTAGATTCGCATCTAGTTACATAACTTTCCAAGGCAATTGTCTGGAAAAGGTAGACCCATAAATATCATTCAGAGAAACAGGCATCATAGGAAATCACTGAGGTGAGGAGTCAAATGGGATTTTTCCCCTCCAAAACCACTAGGAACTAGCAGTATGCCACTTTCTTAAAAGGAAGGGCCAGGCCTAATTCCTTATTCCCTGATACTTTGCTTGGGAAAGGGAAAAGGAGTAAAGGGGAGACAAAAAGAAGTGGTTAGAGAGTAATGCTAACCTCGATGTTCCAGTCAATCTGTTCAACCAATCTGTCACTCCTTCCGATTTCATTTGAATGTAGCCCCTTTATTGCTCAACTTCAAAGTTATTGTGTCATGAAAATATCTGTCTGGCACTTTCCATCAGAAAAGCATTTTCAAAGAGTAAAGTCTTCACCAAGATGCCTGTGGGCCAGGAATCATCCCCCCATTTACTAGTAGTTGAGGAAGCAAATAGAAGAAGATTTGGCCAAGGATGAGTTAAAATTAGCCAGCCATTAATTGATAATTAGCATACATGCTATAATTGGATTGCCAATTTTCACCAAATGAGAACACAATAAAGCATAACCAATGATGCAACATTACTGAAAAGATTTTCTTTTTATTAATGATTTAGAACACATCTGAGAATTTTGGAGTACTTCAATGATCATAATAGGCATTAATTTATAGTCTGAATAGAAAAATGTAAAACATATGAAATTAATTTGAGGTTGTATGGAATTTATGATGTTCCCTATCATTGTTTTTAATAAATTATTCATTTTTAACATTGATTTTTAAGATCAACCAATAATTTTAAATTCCTGTGATGCTCAATTTTATGCAGTCTACATTTTATTACATATACTATGCTCTATGGGGGATACATGAAGTGATGGTATACTCTACATTTCCAAAAAAAAACAAGACACCGAATTTTATAAGCCCAAGTAAAGAAACTTATAAACAACAACTAATTATAGTTGTATATGGCATGCTATATACACACACACACACACACACACACACATACACACGAGTTATAGAAGTTTCCATGTCACATTTTAGGGCTAACAATTCCTAGTAACATTATTTTAACTCAAGAAGTATTTCTTGTTCAAATAGATTCTTCAACCACCACATAATTTCACATTGGGAAAGTATGATCCCCTTAATGAGACAGACAAAGAGTTCAAAAGAAAATACAAGGACATGCTTAAAGAAGCATTCAAATCATTTCAAGCTTAGGGGGATGAAATAATCAAAATCGCAAACAAATAAGCCGAAACACATTAGTCTGTCACTTCATATAAGCTGAGGCCAAGTTGGAGAAAGTGTGATATTGTTCTGCTGTCCTAGATTTTGTACTCTCTTTCAAATCCTGTGCAGACTCCTTACATCACACTTTGCACTTCTCTTAGGCCAACCCCACTGAAGCTAGAGTTGCCTCTCTTACTTCTACCACCCTTCTCTAAACCAAGCCTTGCCCATTACAAGGAGGGACAACAAAGTAAATTTGACCTCCCAAACCAGAGACCTCACAGTAATTCTAATTATCTCTGTCCTCCTCCACTTGTCTCATGCCAAACACTTGCAGCTTGTTCTCCTAAACTACCCTTCAATTATGTTTATGGTCCAGGCCACAGTTATACTTATTTCTTAGCACAGCTGTTACAACCTCCTCCCTGTTGAAGTTCCCAGGCTATAGACTGAATGTAGAATGAATATTTTTATATAAAGTTTATTTTTCACTTACAGACTTTATAAATGCCATTTCCTTTCCTGAAATCTGTAATAGTTACTTATTACATTAAGGTTTAGGCCTAACTTGCATTCAGATAGTTCTTCCTCAAACCACCTTTAACCACCATCTCATATCCCTTTTCTTCTCCTATTACCTTACCCACCCCCTTTGCTTATCTGGGGGACATTAGCTTCCTGCTCTATTTGTGCAGTCATTCCATCTCCTTTACAGAGTTTTCTCTCACTAATTTGAAGAGATTAAAAATCCCATTTTTCTTTTACCTAAATATGAAACCTAAATTTTCTCTACTTCATTTTATGCCTGTATACGTTAACATATTACTCACTGCATGTACCATTTGCATATGGGTTTACTTGCAAATTCTAAAAGAAAGCCTACATACTCTACCATTTTGTTCTGTCCAGAGCCTAGTACAGTATCTAAAGCACAGAAGTGGCTTTTAATTTTTGTTTTATTAAAGGCAATGAGAAAGAAAAGAGGGAAGAAGATAGAGGAAAAAGAGTTGTTGTAAAATAGTACAGTTACACGGCATTTCAGAATATTAAAAAGTTAGCTTAGCCCTAGCCAGTATGGCTCCATGGGTAGAGTGTCAGCCTGTGGACTAAAGGGTCCCAGGTTCAATTCTGGCCAAGGGCACATGCTCGGGTTGCAGGCTCAATTCCCCCACCCCGCACTGAGTAGTGGGCATGCAGGAGGCATCCAATCAATGATTCTCTCTTATCATTGATGTTTATATCTCTCTATCTCTCTCTCCTCCTCTCTGAAATCAATATATATATATATATATATATATATATATATATATATATAACTATATAAGCTTTAATAGAGCTATTTAATGCTGTATTTTATTACTGTTATTTCTGTTGAAATTTGTGATGAACGTTCTTATCTTACTCAAATCTATCTATTTTGGTATACCTTATCTTTTGACACAGTCTATTTCTACAAGTATAAAGAATTCCTCTAATCCCAGAATGATCAAAAGCAGTGATGATTGCCCACAGCTCGATTATCTATTTCCATTATACAAAGGCAGATTTTTTGCATTTTCTTCTCAATTTTCAATGACTCCATGTTTAAAAAAGATGAAAAAAGGCAAAAGAACACAGCTGCTGTGAAATCACAAGAAATATATTACCTTTCAGATTCTTTGGGGATCTAAACTTCAATCAAGAAAAGCCAGGTAAGGCAACGCTATCCATTGTTCCCACTCAGCATAAGGGCACTATGCATTAGTGTGCTCAGTGCCTTTCCTGAACACCTAAAATGGCTCTTTGGCAGGACTAGGGGCAAAGGAAATCTATTTGGAGTCTTTATATATAAGGCTTACTGTCTGGCTGAGTCCAAAACTGTCACTTTGGCTCCTAAAGTCTAACGCTGAAAGCTTACTGAGATAAATATGGACCTTCTCATTCAGGCTGTCAGGAAATGCGTGGATCTATTTTATTTATACACTTAAAATGATTTCATTTGGCCTTTTTTTTGGAAGAAGTTTTATTCTGGGGCATAATTTTGCTGACAACATTCTGTTCCTGAACAAGAAAGCTAAGTGGCTTCACATTAAAAACCAGGTATGAATGTACACACACAAAATATTGTCGTGGCTCATTTCAAAGTTCTGCTCCTCAGTCTCCTCCAGTATTTTTAATTAATTCTCATGAAAGCTACTTACCCAAGGACTACATTGATAATTTATTTAAATCAATAGTCAAGTCTGGCATTTGTGGTGTAATGAGTGAATTAGTCATTTATATACTTACTAGAGGCCCGGTGCACAAATTCATGCACCAGGGGGGTCCCTCAACCTGGCCTGCAGAATCAGGCCAAAACCGGCTGTCCAATATCCCCTGAGGGGTCCCGGATTGCAAGAGGGCACAGGCCAGATGGAGGGACCCCACGGTGCACAATTGGGGCCAGGAAGGGACCATGGGAGGGCTCTAGGGCATGTCCAGCCCGTCTTGCCCAGTCCCAATCAGCTGAACCCCAGCAGCAAGCTAACCTACCGGTCAGAGCGTCTGCCCCCTGGTGGTCAGTGCACGTCATAGCAAACGTTTGAGCGGCCTTAGTATATCATTAGCATATTACGCTTTGATTGGTTGAATGGCCTACCAGTCAACTGAACACTTAGCATATTAGGCTTTTATTATATAGGATTGCTTTGATATTGGGTTCCTTTATTGAACACTCAAGCCTATTGTCTTTCCTACAAGGCCTCAGAAAGAGAGAGGCAGTTGAAGCAAGAGAAACAGACCAAGCCACAATAAATCCCTCAACCAAAACAAAGTCCAGCAACTCCATAGTGTTGAGATGCTCTCTAACAGTGATATGAATATATTGTTTATATTTATCCTTCCTTGCTGATGCTATCATTTGCCATTCTGAATTTTCCACTGACAGCAGTATTTTTGCTAGTCTTACTTACAGAGATGTTAGCTACTAAAACACATTCAGGCTTATATCATTATCAATCATCAGTGAACCAAGAACAAGACACTTGCCAAAGGTTGGGGATTTAGCTCTGGTTGATTTGCTGAAGCAGAGAGTAAAAAAGTAGTAGTGTGACTAGCTACAAATAGAACACAGGGATTTGAGCTTGTTTATTTTGCATGGGGTATGCCACTCACAAATTCACTGTGTCCACAGAAATCCATTTATTGGGGTGAGGGTTACTTCTTCATAGCAGTATTGCTCTAGCTTTGTGTAGCTATCTGGTATACCAAGGTGATATAAATCCCCCATGTTGCCA